TCACATGGGGTGCGCCAGAGCAGGGTGGGTGAGAACCCTCCCCGCCCCAAGGGACCCAGCTCCGGCAGCCAAAATCCTTCACTGCCCAACCGCCACAATGCTCAAGGCCGTTCCCCATGCGCTGTGGCCTAGCCTCACATACGAATGAACATATTCCTGGACACATTATAAAACACTCCCTACTCATTCTCCATAATTATCACACCACACCACATTTGATGGCTTCAGATATTAGGCAACAAATCATAGATGGAAATTATGTATATGCATATATACATATTTTTAGATATATATACCAAAGCTCACATCACCCAAACTTTAAAAACATGTTAGTGATATCCTATAGAATGTCTTAATGGGTCCTGCCAAAATAGAACAATCTTCACACTGTTTCCTATATGGACACTTTGTTGTAACCATGTTTGTAGGATAACATTGGTTTGTTCTTTCTCCCTTGCCACAGGGAACTTAGGTTTATCGGGTTACACTCATCACAGTGCTCCCGAGTCACTCCCATTCCTCTGGGTTTATCTGTAAACTCTTCTCTGTGCTCTCCTCCCCAACGGGTTAATCACCTTTTCCCCTAATCAGATTCTGTTAACTTGTATGGTCAGATCTTTCTAAGGATGTTGAATTTGTAAGTTAAACATTGCTTTTCGCGATCCTTTACACACTTTACTTTTTTTTGCTTTTTGGATCACACCCAGCGATGCTCAGGGGTTATTCCTGGCTCTGCACTCAGGAATTACTTCTGGAGGTGCTTGGGGGACCATATGGGATGCCAGGGATTGAACCCAGGTCGGCTGCGTGCAAGGCAGATGCCCTACCCGCTATGCTATTGCTCCAGCCCCGATTGCACAGTTTACTTTTAAGCTTACTTTTAAGCAATGCCCTTTTTGTATGGACACAGGGAGACATTTAATATTATGCTTTTGTAACTTGGGAGTTAATTGACTCCAAATAGTCTTCACTCCCGGACACTGCTTTCTAGACTTAAGCCTCAGTTGCCCTTAATTCCTAGCACTCTAAAAGCAGGGTCCAGACGAGGGATTGAACGGACTCAGCGCAAGCTGTGAGTTACCCTGACGTTAGGGGAGAATTTATCATCTTGCCTTTACTCATTTTAGAAACGCTGTGCAATTCTTGGCTGATGATTATTTCCTTGCATCTCGTCAACCTCTTGCTTTCACGGACACATCCCATCAAACAACCAAGCAACCCACTCTAATCCCCTGTTTCTCTTATAATGATCTTTGTAATTACAACATTGAGCCCACCTGGGAAGTCCAGGCAACTCTCCCCACCAAAAGAATCTTAATCACATCTGCAAAGCTCCTTTTGCCAACATAATTACAGGTTCCAGGGATTAGAACATGTATACCTTTGTTTTATTGTGGTTTTAGTTTGGGTCACACCTGATGGTACACAGACTTACTTGTATATCTGTGCTCAGAGATCACTTGCAAGGGTCTTAGAGATGATATGGGGTGCTGAGAAACAAAACCCAGTGGGCCACAAGAAAGGTAAGTGCGCTTCCCACCGTACTATGTCTTCAGATCCTGGACATATGTATATTTGGGATACTTCCATTCACCTTATCATCACCAAGCTTATGCTAAGTTGACAGCAAAAAATTCATTGGACAAAAAGTAACAACGAGATTTTTATGAGGGGCGAATTTGGGCTACACTCTGCACTATCACCCCAGGACTAAAAATTGTATTCTATACAAACCTTTGCCATTCCTTTCTAGTTGGTTAACCTTAGATAACTCCTTTCATCTCTTCAAGAATCAGTTTCTTCATGTGGAATCTGTGGATAACAGAAACACCTAGCTCAGACGGTGTGACTTGAACCTCGAACGTTCTTTGTTGTAAGTACAGTAACCATCACAGAGCAGGTGTAAGTGTTTGATAAGCATAAGGGTTTGATAGGCTTTTTTCCCACTACACACACTGAGCACAGCTTAGCCCTTTGGCCTACAAGAGGCTATGTGCTTGATGGCATGTTTGGGAGCTTAAGATGGGATGAATCCTTTGTTTTCAGCAAAACAGTGGAACCTTAAACACCTGAACCCATGACTGTTTGAATGCTTGTAGGGAAAGAAGCTTTGGAACAGAGCCAGCTTTCTCTTATTTCTCTACAAAAGAGAGTTCCCCTAATATCTGAGGGGGCTAATGCCACCAGAATTCCAATAAGTCATCTGGTTCAAATTCAGACTCAGGCATCACAGCACCTAGCACTAAGCAGAATTATAATGGATCAGTGCAAGGCCCACACACACTTGCCTCACACCCAAATATTTGATCTTACACAAAGAGAGATATGAAGATATAGATTAAGTTAAAACATTTTAAGACCGGGGTATTTCATGGATTACACAGGAAGTCCCACTGAAATCACAGGGGTTCTTGAAAGAGCGAGACAAGAAATAGATTACCGATACGGAGAGGCCATTATGTTTGGTCAGTTACCCAATTTCAAAACATCTCCATCGAGAGCAATCCCTTCCAAACATCATTGTCAAAAAGGTCCCTATTCTGATCCAAACTGCTCTGCACTCAGGAAATTATCTGCTGTGCAGGGATCAAACCCAGTTTGCCCCAAGGAAGGAAAGCATCTAATTTAATGTACTATTGCTCCAGCCATATAAATTTTTAAGTGTAAGTGACTAACCTCAAAAATCTGGTGGATCTAACCCAATAGATCAAACTCACAAGATGAAGCTAACTTCTTTTCTTACGAGTTGTTTTCTTGCTAGAATCTGACAGAAAAACATATCGGGAAAATAGTATGTCCCAGGCAAAAAAATATTAGGAAAATGCAAGTTAAAACCACAAGAGTCTTATCCCTTGGTATATGCCAGTAAGGTATTAACAAAATACCAAACACTTATCACTGGGTACCTGTCAGCAAAATACCAAACATCACATGCTGGGACAGAATACTGGGATGCCAGGGATCAAACAGATTGGCTGCATGCAAGGCAAGCAAGCATGTAGGAAATCTTTCCCACTGAAATCATATAGAAGTCAACAATATCGAAGTCACTCCGACGAATAACCTTATAAATGTAAAGCAGGTACTAAGACTTTGGTATAAAAGTCATGTAGAATTCAGCAATATCAAATGCAATATCAAATATAGTAAGAAATCCTAGGGGTGTAAAGCATGTCGGAAATCTTTTCCACTAGAATCATACGGAGTTCAACAATATGGGAGTCACCTTACAAATGTAAAGCAGGTAGGAAAACTTGCTCATGAAATTCCTGTAGAATTCATAAATATCAAATTCATAGAATAATAAATCCGAGGGGTTTAAAGCATGTAGTAAATCTTTCCCACTGAAATCATATCTAACTCAAGAATATCGAAATCGAACAGGTGAGAAACCTTTCTCACTTAAAGTGACATCTAAGTCAACAATATTAAATTCATACAGGTAACAGTCCCTATTAATCGTCACGGAGGAGGTAGGAAAATGTTCTTACAAAGGAATATGTAATTCCGTTAAAATACCCAAAGAGGGAGACATTGGGAATCGCCCAGTCCTTGAGGTAGGCTTGCAACCATGGAATAATCCTCCTGGTCTTCTTTCCACTGTCCTAGGGTGGTACTTTGTTTCCTTACACCTCACATAGGTGAGACTGACCGATGAGCCCTTTGTTCTTTCTGATTCTCTTCACTTATCAGAAGTCCATCCAATCCCATGCAATTTACAGCATTTTCTCTTCTGGATTTGGATCAATTCCACTCCGGTCCAGCACACAATCTGCTCAGGGCTTACTCTTGGCTCTGCACTCAGGCAACTATACGGATGCCAGGGATCATACCTGGTCGACCACATAGAAGGAAAGCATCTTACCTGATGCACAATTGCCCCAGCCCTAGAAGTACTTAAGTATAAGTTAGTAACCTCAAAATTCTAGTGGGTCTAACCAATCCTGTGAAGCCTCTCCAGAAGAAGCTAACTTCTTGACTTCCGAGTTGTTTTCTTGCTAGAATCTGACACATATATATTTATCAGGTAAATAGTATATTCCAGGCAAGTGAAAATCAGGGTAATGCAAGTGAAAACTGCAAGAAGCTTATCAATTGGTATCTGCCACAAGGGTATTACCAAAATACCAAACACTTATCTCTTGGCATCTCTCAGCAAAATATGAAACATCAAATGCTGAGACAGAGTACTGGGATGCCAGGGATAAAACCAATTGGCTACATGCAAGGCAAGCAAACATATAAGAAATCTTTCCCACTGAAAAAAACATTTAACTCAACCATATCGAAGTCACTCTGAAGATAAACATTTCAAATGTAAAGCAGGTAGCAAAACGTTCACAAGCAAGTCATGCAGAATTCAGTAATATCAAATTCATATAGTATGAAATCCTAATGGTGTAAAGCATGTAGGAAATCTCTCCCACTAGTATCATATCTAATTCAACAATATGGAAGTCACTCTGATGAAAAACCTTATCAATGTAAAGCAGGTAGTAAAACTCTCCCTCGAAAGTCATGTAGAATTCAATAATATAAACTTCATCACTGTCACTGTCCTCCCGTTGTTCGACTATTTGTTCCAGCAGGCCTAGTAACATTGTGAGATTGTTTACTGTGTTTGGCATATCGAATATGTCACGGGTAGCTTGCCATGCTTTGCTGTGAGGGCGAGATACTCTAGGTAACTTGCCGGGCTCTCCGAGAGGGGTTGAGCAATCGAACTCAAGTTGGCCATTTTTGCTGCGTGCAAGGCAAACGCCTGAACTGTTGTGCTATCGAAATCAGAGGGGATGTAAAGTATGTAGGAAATTTTTCCTATGAAACAAATCAAATTCAACAACATCGAAGTCACTCTGAAGACAAATCTTTCAAATATAAAGCAGGTAGCAAAACTTTCATGCAGAGTTCAGCAATATCAAATTCATACAGTATGAAATCCTAGGGATGTAAAGTATGTCGGAAATCTTTCCCACTAGAATCATATCTAATTCAACAATATGGAACTCACTCTGATGGAAAACCTTATAAATGTAATGCAGGTAGTAGAACTTTCTAACAACAGTCATGTAGAACTCAACAATATCACATTCACACGGTAAGAAATCTGAGGGGTGTATCGCATGTAGTAAATATTTCCCACTGAAATCATATCTAACTCACCAATATCGAAGTTGGACAGGTGAGAATCCATTCTCACTAAAGTCACATCTACGTCCACAATCAGGAACAAACCCCATGAATGTTCAAGGAGGAGGTAGGAAAATCCTCTCACAAAAATCATATCTATTTCAATTAAAATAAAAAACCAAAAAGGGAGACGTTGGAATCCCCCAGCCCTCAAGGCAGGCTTCCAAACATGGAACAACCCTCCTGGTCTTCTTTCTACTGTTCTTGTGTGGTACTTTGTTGCCTTACACCTCACATTGGTGAGATTGCCTAATGAACCCTTTGTTCTTTCTGTGTCTCTCGACTTGCCAGAACTCCATCCAATCACATCCAAGTTACAGCATTTTCTCTTTTGGACTTGGAGCAATCCTACCCCGGCCTAGCACCCCACAGTGCTCTGGGCTTACTCTTGGCTCTGCACTCAGGCAACTATACGAATGCCAGGGATCAAACCAGGCTGACCACATACAAGGTAAGCATCTTACCTGCTGCACAATCGTTCTAGCCCTAGAAATATTAAGTATAAGAGTCAAAAACCTAGTGGGTCTTACCGAATCAAATCAAGCCTCTCCAGATGAAGCCAACTCCTTGTCTTCTGAGTATTTTAATAGCTAGAATCTTACAGACATGTATATCCTAGGTAAGGAACCTATCGGGAAAATGCAGGTCAAAACCACAAGGAGCTTGGTATTTATCAGCAAGGTATCTGTTACCAAGAATATTGAAGTGACAGGGATCTAACCTGGTGGCCACATGCAAGGCAAGGAAACATCTTACACTGCTGTAATATGGTCCCAACCTTAACAGTATTTACGTTTACATTACTTACCTCAATACGTATAAGTGACTACCTCAATTATCTGTTGGGTCTTACCAAACACATCAAGCCTTTCCAGATGAAACTTACACCAATTCTTTAGAGTTGGTTCCTTTCTAGAATCTGACAGACACATACATAGAAAAAATTGTATATCCTAGGCAAGGAAGATTCAAATGACAATTTCCTATATCAGGAAAATGCAAATCAAATAAATAATAAGTTTATCGGTAATCAACTCTATTAACAAAATAACAAACAACAAATGCTAAATGAGATCTATTCCTGGGAGATGACTCAGAAAGCTGCAGGATGGCATCCTTTGAGGAAGGCCCATTGTCGATCTCTGGAACCATATCGACTTGTCTCGCACATATAATGCTCTGTCTGCCCTCATGAGGCCATTCTGAACGAAGTTCTATATTGATCCCCAGTCTCACTAAAATTGTATCCAAATCAACAATATGGAATTCATACAGGTTACAAACCCTATGAAGGAATGCAGGAAATCTAACTCACTAAAATGATATCAAATTCAGCAATACAGAATTCAAACAGGTGAGAAATCCTATGGATTGTAAAGAATGTAAGAGGACATTCTCAATCAAATATGTTCACACTCACATGAAGAATTCATGCGGGAGAGAAATCTGTTGAAGGAAAAAATTCATTTGCAAAAAAGTTGTCCCGAGTCACTGTAAATCTCAAGCAGGAAATAAACCTTATAAATGTAAAGAATGGATGAAAACTTTTTACTGGAAATCAGACCTTCAAGGCTGCAGCAATACTACAGCGGGTAGGGAGTTTGCCTTGCACGCAGCTGACCGAGGTTTGATTCCTAGTATCCCAATATGGTCCCCTGAGCACCGCCAGGGGCGATTCCTGAGTACAGAGCCAAGAGTAACCCTTGTGCATTGCCGGGTATGACCCAGAAAGAAAAAATAAAAGAATATAGGACAAGAGTTTCTGTGAAATTAAACTTCACTGAACATGAAGAGATCTGACAAAGGAGATAAAGCCTCTGAGCATGGAATGTACATAAAGATTCAACGTGAAATCAAATTTCACTGAACATGAAAAGTATTCACAAAGGAAAAAAATCCAATGACTGTACACAATATATATATCGGAGGGATGGGGGCCTGCTTAGGGACTGCCCAAACCCTGCAAAACCTTCACCATGCCATTGGCAGGACCTCATTGCCTTGGTATGAAGCCTCTCCTGCAAATTAACTTACTGAATATTCAGGTATACTTGTCCTTGTGATTGAAATTCCAAGGCTTTCTCAGAGTCAGTATGGGCTACCTGTGCTCCCCTTCCTGTACTTCTAGAAGCCCAGGTACTCAGGCCTATGATTCACCTCTGCCACATGTAAGCTCATCTACTTAGAGTACTCTACTCTACTTTATGAACCCTTGAAACAGACTCATAAATAGATCTCAAAAGAGGACAACCAACCGCCAATAATCCTCCGGACACCCAAGCATGCCTGAGACATCAGGGTCACCTGAAGGATGGGAGGCCAGCTCGGGGAACTCCCAAACACAACCCCAGTAGCGCCTTGCTCCCATTCTGGGAGAACATCAAATAGCATTTGCAAGATCTTAAAGGGAACTTCAACACCCAGAACCTCCAGAAAAAAGAATTTTCCAGGGGAAAAAATGACCAGAGCCAAGACTGCTCTGTGAGAGTTTCAATTACTGAGCCCCCTTTGCGGTGCCCACACAGACTCTGAGAGCTTCCTTCTTAGAGGCCTCCCAGGACCGTCTGACCCTGATGGATGTTTGTCCGGTGACCATGAACAGGCAGGCAGATACTTGCGCAAAACTGGACTTATCTATAGATATCCCCAGGTTGCAGCTGCTGCCATAAGACCCTTTAATGTACAGATGTTTACCTTGAATGCTATGTAAAGTTCTTGTTGCTGACCTTACCATGTATGATTATATTGCTTCTGCTTGTGACTGGGCCGCTCCGGATCCTATATAACAGCCTGTAGCACTCAATAAAGTCTTTCCCTTTTCCTCTCTGTTTCTACACTGCACTCTGTCTCGTGTCTTCTGTTCATTCGGTCGGTCCCTCCTTGCACCTACGGATCCTAGGGCCACATCTGCGGGCCGGAGGATTGGTCTGGAGGGCCCCCCTGCACATGTACTAATTTCCTTCTGCCCCTATATAATCACTGCTTACCATGAATAAAGTTGTATACTGACCACCAGACGTTAGTCTGTGTCTTTTGACCATCCGTCGATAGTCTAATTTGCCTACCAGCTCCATACACCAGGTAACCGTACAGCCTGACAGTTCACCTGTGTTCAACCCAGGTCCACCATGTGCAAGGCTCACACCCTATCCACTTAACTTTTGCTCCAAAGAAGCCTTGTTTTAATACTTATCATCATGATTTCCTAAGATATCTCCTGAAATATGCTGCAGTGCTTCCCAGTGCCAGAGATTAGTAAACACCATAGGCACACCGCCAGAGCATTTTGTGGAGCAGAAGTCCCATTTATTCTCAGTATATTTTTACAAGTTTCTGGAAAACAATCTCTTGGGAATTTCCAGACTACTGTTCTGGTCTTTAGTTTTTCAAACCTTAACAAATTTAACATGGACCAAAAACAGACGGCCGCTCCCCAGAGAACATAGAGTGGAGGGTGAGCAAAATAGGGTAAGGGGCTTAAGGGATGCACTTTCCTTTCAAACGACACCATTATAGAGAATCCCTATTAACCGTGCAGCTCAATTCTCCCCTGTAGGCACTATGATCCTCCCCAAAGTATTCTACAGATGTTCTGTAGTGTTCATTAAAACTCCATGATTCTTCAGAGACCCAGAACAAAGTTTAAGGACATCTGTTAAGGGACCTACAGAACAAATTCTGAATACACAGTAAGTGTTCTAAGGAAAGAGAACATGCAAGAACATGCAAGTGTCCATCTCCTGACACTGAACAGGACAAAACCCAGAGCAATTAAAAGAGTGTGGCCCTTAACTGTAAACATCTAGTCAGAAACAACCAATCTGGTGAAGATAGCTTTTAAAAAAATTTATATTAGTGACAAACCATGAGGTACAGTTGTAGACAAAGATAGCTTTGACAGGGAAGAAAGGGTAACCCCAGCTGGTTCTGTCAGAGCTCACAGGCAGTGGGGATGGCACAAAAGTGAATCGAAAGACTCACTCTCAACGTGCAAAACTCAAAATGGGGAAATAGATCAGATCCCTGCCACACCAAGGAAAGATGACAGCCTTAGAGATTCAACCACTAATAGCCAGGTATATAAACACGGACAAGTACTTGAGAGGAAATTCTGAAGATGTGCTTGTAAAGTGGCAGTCAAAAAACCCATGACTTTTGTATAAATAAATAATGAAATAAAAGAGGGAGAAATTGAAAAAATAATCCAAGTACCCAGTAGCTTAACAAAAGAGAAATCCCAATACAAGGAAAGCTACGAAACATTATTTAAATGAAGGATGCCAGGGTTAAGAAACACATTCCTTGCTTATAAATCAGGACGACAAATACTGTCAAAATGGAAATACTCTCCAAAGCACTATAAAATTTAATGCAATCCCAAAACATATCAGTTAAACATCCATGAAATTCATTTGGAAAACTCCCCCCAAGTAGTCAAAGCAACCCTAGGGGAAAAACATGGGAAGCATCACATTCCAACTTCAAAGTCTACTACAAATCTGTAAAAAGGTAAAGGTAAAGACCCTCCGTTGATCGTCGATTTGCTCGAGCGGGCCCAGTAACGTCTCCATTGGAGACTTTGTTGTTACTGTGTTTGGCATATCGAATACTCTCGGTAGCTTGCCGGGCTCTCCGAGAGGGGCAGAGGAATCGAACTCGGCTCGGCCATGTTGGCCGCTTGTAAGGCGAACGCCCTACCCGCTGTGATATTGCTCCACCCACTACAAATCTGTAGTAATTAAAATCAAATGGGACTGGAATAAGGAAAAACTCTCAGATCAATTGAAAAGAATTGAAAATTCAGAGAGCTAAAAGAAAAAAAAGGAAGAGAGACCACAAATGTCCCAAAAACAATAGAAATGAGATCTGCCTATATGGCCCCAGGAGTAATTCCTGAGTGCACAAGCCAGGAGTAACCGCTGTGAAACGCTGGATGTGACCCAAAAAGTAAAAAATTTAAAAATTAAAAATAAAGGAAACTGTACAACATTTAAAAAAAGAGGAGGACGGGGATGGTGCGATCAGGGAGGGGGGGAGGGGGAGAGGAGGGTAAGAGGAGGGGGAGAGCAGAGCAAGGAGAGGCAGAGAGGAAGACCAGGTAAAGCCACGTGGACATTAAGAGCAGAGGGAGAAGAGGGGAGAGGAGAATGAGAAAGGAAATGGGGAGGGGGAAGAGAAAAAGGGAATGGGAGGGGGAGACGGAGGGGGAAAAAATCAAAACTGTCCGCGTGAGACACGTCCCGGTTCTAGTGCGCATGCGTTGCTCGCGTGAAGGCCCGACGTGCCTAATCTCTTCCGGTTTGAACGATCTCTTCCGGGGGAGCTCCAGTCCAATGGGATTGCGCGCTGAAGCCAGGCGACCGTTAAACGGCTTTTTCCGGGGGTCGTTACATGGGCATCTTGCAGCGGGAACCGGTGGAAGATGAAGTAAGCTCCGGCTGTCCTCCGTGGAGTGTGGGAGTTCGGGGCTGGAGGATTGGGATGCGGGGCGGGAGGAGCTGAGGGAAGGGGCTGGGGGAGAAGCGTCCGAGGAGGCGGGGGTTGCGAAGTCCGGACAGCGCCGAGACTCTTCCAGGGGAGCCCTAGTTGGGCGCTCTCGGTCGCCTGGCCGTTTCTTTACTCTGCGGCAACTTTCGCAGCCCGTTGACGAAAGTGAAGTTAATCAACGAGGTCAAGGAGCGAGAGGTCCAGCTGGGGGTGGCGGAGAAGGTGTCCTGGCACTCCGAGTACAAGGACAGCAGCGCCTGGATCTTCTTGGGTGAGTTCTGCCGTGGTGCGCCTCGGGTTCCCCGCCGCTGGGCTTTCCAGGGAGGGTTTCAGCCTTCCACCTCTCTTCTCCCTGGCTCTCGCGCCGCCCCCCCCCCCCCACCCCCTCCTCGTTTAGGTGACACCCAGCGATGGTCAGGCGTCACTCCGGGCTCTGCATTCAGCAGTTCCTTCTGGCGGTGCTCACAGAACCTATGGGATGGTCCAGGGATGGTGCCAGGGATCGAACCTGGGTCAGCCTCATGCAAGACGATTGCCCTACCCGCTACACGAGCGCTCCAGTCCTGCTGGCATGTATTTCTGCTTCTTATCTTGGGGGCCACACCGGGCAGTTCTCCTGGGTTTCTCCTGGCTCAATGCACGGTGTCTGGGGAATATATGGTATGCCAGAGATGGGACCCACGATTTTGGCCACGGTCACGGCAAGCGCCGTACCCACGGTACTATTTCTCCGGCACCCTTATTTCTGTTCTTTTTCCAGGTTTTCATTTTTTCCCTCCTTTTCACACCCCCCATTCCCTCTTTCTCTTCCCACTCCCCCTTTCCTTTCTCATCCCCTCTCCTCTTTTCTCCCCTCCCCTTCATGTCCACTTCCCACTCCCCTGTCCTCCTCTCCGCCTCTCCTTGCTCTCCTCTCCCCCTCCCCGTGCTCTCCGAGTCTTCTTTCCACTCCCCCTGCTCTCCCCATCCCCTTTCCTCCTCTTTTTTTAACGTTGTACAGTTTTCTTTATTTTTAATTTTTTTAATTTTTCGGTCACACTCGGCCTTGCACATGTGTCACTCCTGGCTTCTGCACTCAGGAATTACTCCTGGGGCCATATAAGATGCTGGGAATCAAACCGGGTTGGCCACGTGCAAGGCGTTTGCCCTACCTGTGCTATCGCTCAAGTCCCTGTCCTCCTCTTACCCTTCTCATCCTCTAGTAATCCTCTCCCTTGTTCCTTTTTCCCTTCCCCTTCTCCCCATCATCCTCTTTCCCTCTCCTCTTCCCCTTCTCTCCCCTCCTCCTCTTCCCCTTCCCTTCCCCGATTTTCTCTCTCCCACTTGCCTTTCCCATGCCTCTCTTCCCCCCACTTCTTCCCTCTCCCCTTATTCCTCCACCTTCCCCTTTTTTGCCTTCCTCCACCCCTCCCACCTCTCCCCCTTTTCTCTTCCCCATGCCCTCCCTCTTTTCTTTTTCCTTACTTTCCTCTTCCCTTTCCCCTTCCCCCCTTTGCCCTTCTCTGTTCCACCTCTTCCCCCTCTTTCCTTTCTCCTCCCCTACCCCTTACTCCTCTCTTCTCCTTCCCCCTGTTCCTCTTCAGTTTCCCCCTCCTCTCCTTGCTTTGTCTGGGACACATTCCTGGCTGCTTTGAACAATGTCATGAATCGTACTAATAAACGCGTTTATAGAGGTTGGACATGTTTGCATGAGGATTTGCTTTGGTAAAATGCCTAAAAGTTTTCTTTATAATCCTTAGTCTGTGTGAGGTAGGGTTAGTATTTGCATATTCAAATTGATTTTGGGGGGCAAGGAGATAGTGGGTTAGGAGCGTAGATTATTAAACTAGGTCTGATGTCCCGCAGCACTAAAAACCCTGCTCTCTGCTTCAACAGGTGTAGCCTTGGTGGCCCCAGAGCACTGCCAGGTGGCACTGGAGGTTCCCCAATCTGCAGTGTCAGTGCAGCACCACATCCTTGGGCCCTTCCAGTGAGTTGTTTGACCCAATATCCATGGAATGGTCCCTGGGTTCTGTTTGTAAGGCCCCTTGCAGACATTTGATTTTGAAGGTAGCTATGGTAGATAATGAGCAGATGACTTGAACAATTTTTTTTTGTATTTTGGGCACAGTGCTGCTCAGACTTACTGCTGGTTCTATGCTCAGGGCTTCTTTCTAGTGGGGCTTGGGGAACCATCTGTGGTGCAGGAAATTGAACCTGAGCAAGCTGCATACAATACAAACGCTCTAATTGCTCTAGTATGCTCAGGTCAACTTTATTTATTTGCATATAAACACATACATATATATGTATGTGTACACACATATGTATACACACATATGTATGCATATACAATCATATCTATACACACAAATTTTGGTTTTGGGGCCACACCCGCTGTGCTCAGGAGTTACTCCTGGTTCTACATTCAGAGATCACTCTGGGCTTGGGGGAGTCATATTGGTTACTGAGGATCAATGTTGGGGTAAGGCTAGCATCTGCTATATTCTCCTTTACATGCTGATAATGTATTTTAAGAAATATTTGTCATGTTGGAAACTAACTCCTTTGTCTACAAAGTTTTGCTTGTGAAGGCCAGCAAGAATATTCGGGTACGGCCTTGAAACTTGCTGACCTTAGTTGCATACCACTTAACCACTTGCCATTTATGGTCCCCTGAGTACCTCTAGGAGTGATCCTATCGCATAGCTGGATTTCGCAACATAATTGAAACAAAACATTTTAAAACCTAAAAAAGAAATTGGGGGTTTGAGGAAAGATTATTTTGCTCCATTACTGGTTTTCTTTGTTGTTGTTGTTTTTGTATTTTTATTTTATTGAATCATCATGAGATAGTTACAAGCTTTCATGTTTGGGTTACAATCACACAATGATCAAACACCCATCCCTTCACCACTGCACATTACCAACCACCAATATCCCTGGTATACCCCACCTTTCCTACCCTCCCCCTGCCTCCATGACAGACAATATTCCCCATGGTCACGGTCACGGTCCTACCGTTGTTCACTGATTTGCTCGAGTGGGCCCAGTAACGTCTCCATGTGAGACTTGTTGTTACTGTGTTTGGCATATCGAATACATCACGGGTAGCTTGCCAGGCTCTGCTGTGCGGGCAAGATTCTCTCGGTAGCTTGCCGGGCTCTACGAGAGGGGCGGAGGAAATGAACTCGGGTCGGCCATGTTGGCTGCGTGCAAGGCAAACACCCTACCACTGTGCTATTGCTCCACATTACTGGTTTTCTTGACCTTTCCATGTTCAAACTTAAAACTTTTTCTATACTTCTGGTGTACTGCATTCTATCAGATGGTGAGTTCAGATCCTCTTTTTTGGTAACCTCAAGGCTAGGCCTAGATCTGGTGCATAGTGCATGCTAGGTCAATGTTTGAACTGAAGTGTGATTTTTCTCTTGTAGGAAGACTTCTTTGTGAACTGACTAAAGGGGATGTTATCTGTGTCTTCTACCAGTAAGTCCGCTTTCATTTTATGCTTCATGGATTATAGGTATCATTTTCTTCCACGATGATAAAATTTGTTTCCTTACATATTGTAGACTGACTGGCATTTCTCCAGAGGGAGAGCTCAATTCAAGTTTTTGCTTTAGTTTTACCCAGGACATAGATCTAGAGCTCTCCCAGTGTGGAAAACCCAGCAACTCGTCTTGAGGCTTCTGCTCTGCTTCTTTTCCTTTTCTACTTCTTTTTTTTATGCACTGCGGGGAATCCTTCCTGACTCTGCTTAGGAATCACTCTTCTTTTTTCTTTCTGGATCACACCCGGCAATGCATAAGGGTTATTTGTGACTCATACACTCAGGAATTACTCCTGGCGGTGCGTGGGTGACCGTATGGGATGCTGGGAATTGAAACGGGTTGGTCGCATGCAAGGCAAACGCCCTACCTGTTGTGGTATCACTCCAGCTCCAGAAATCACTCTCGGTAGTGCTTGGAGGTTCGCCCATGGTGTGTGGTGCTGGGGATTGAACTCCCAACAGCTGTATGCAAGGGAAGGCCTGTATTCCCTATATTTTCTCTATGGCTGTTTCCTTGATCTTTCATTGAGACTTTTTAAACCTGGTCCTGCGGTAGAGCCGATTAAAAGACTCCTAGAAAGCTACAGTTCCCTTACAGAGTTACTTTTTGACCCCCTACAAACTAAGGATAACAGCCCTTCTCTGCCCGCACCTGTGTGACACTCTTCACTTAGGGCAAAGTTTACAGGATTTAGGAGAAAAAGCAAACGGTTTAGGTAGTACTTTGCTTTCTTTGTTTACAGATAAGTGTGAGGTTACTGAGCCGACCAGATCTCCTGTGGCTGGACAGCTTAGGGGACAGTAGGTTCTGGCTCAGGGGATGCGTACCATAGAGGTTAGTGGGCGATGGGAAAGAAACTTGGCAATGTTTATGAGAAGTGAACCATGGGTATAGGTTTTGGGCACCCCACTCAGGCTGAGAGCTCTGGCAGGAGTAGAGGTGTCTTCCTCCTAGCTTTTGGGTGTTGGGGAAATTCACAGTAGGTACAGCCCAGGATTATGTCATTTCTTCATGGTATCTGTTCCTGGTCTAGTCTCTCATCTAGGGCTGCATCCTTGCATATCACTTGCCTGCAGACTGGTCTATGGATCCATTGATCTAGATGTTTCTATCTTGTTTCTTTTGAGTGATGGTCAGCTAGTATGTATATTCTAGTTCTTGCTCCACCGTGCTCTTAATGAAGACCTTTTGCCATTGTTAATAATGCCGTTGAAAAATATTTTTGATTTAGATCATTTGTCTAGGATTTGGTTCGAACAGAGTGGTTGACTATGTGGAGTTACTGTGAGGGACTTTGGAGGGTATGGAACTAACTGTCTTTGAAATTTCGGAAAAGTGTTTTATCTGGAGACTGAAAGCTAAGGACAACAAACAAACATTGGCAAATTCACTACAGAGTTTTGTTTTTTATTATCAGAGAATTACATTAGTAATTACAACTTGTGAAAAAAATGGTATTGAAAAGAATATAGGAAGGAGGACCAGAGAGTACAGTGGTTAGGGAAGCAGGAAAACACAATGGTAGAATTGTCTTTTAATTGTTGGCAATGTTTCCAGTAGTTTGCTGTTGTAAATTAAACCATAATATACATTTTAGTATGCAGCTCTTCTTTGTGCAATTATTGGATTAATGTTGCCAGTTTTCTCTTTACTGATTTAAATTTTTTTTTTAGTTTTGAGGCTGCACCAGTCTCTGTTTAAGTATCATTTCTGAAGAGCTCAAGGGACCATATGAGGTGATCAAAGATGGATTGGTTTTGTGCAAGGTAAGCAGCCTGGCTGCTGTCCTCTCTCTCCAGTCCCTCTTTGCTAACTTTTAAATATTACTTTAAGATGTATTTATATTATTATCAGATTGCTCACCATAAAGGTCTTCCAGATTTTGCCTCACTAGAATGTCCCTTTTTTCTTTATTCTAATCAGCAGAGATTTGTTATTTAAAAATATATTTGCCATTGACTTTCTTAAATTTATTTTATTAAAGACTTATGTTTTCCAAAGTCATTTGCAGTTGAGTTTTAGACATGTATTTCAAAACTTATCCTACTACTGGTGTTCTCTTATTCCCTCCCCAGCACAACCCCCAAACCCCCACACCATTGCCCCGCCTGTCAACTTGGCAAGAACATTACAAAGTTTCAGTGGTTACAGCTTAGATATAATGGGCTATTTTGGGGTCACACCCAGCAATGCTCAGGGGTTACTCCTGGCTTTGCACTCAGGTATTAGTCCTGGTGGTGCCCTGGGGACCATCTGGGATGTTGGGGATTGAACCCGGGTCGGCCGCGTGCAAGGCAAACGCCCCACCTGCTGCGGTATTGTTCAGGCCTCTAGATCCCATTTCTTTTCAGTTGTTCTATGTACTTGCTTACTCTTTTACTTTGCTTTTAAGTTCACCATCAGTGACATTAAACATCTTTTTCATAGATCAACAGGTCTATGAAATTCCCTTTAGTATGTTATGTACTTTGCCTATTTTTTTCTAGTGGTGTGTTCCTCATTTTCATAGTGATTTTACAAGGCTCCTTGATAGACTATGCATATTAGTTTTGTTATATCATTTTATCATGACACTGTCACTGTCGCTGTCACGGTCACTGTCCTCCCCTTGTCATCGATTTGCTCGAGTCAGCCCAGGAACGTCTCCAGTGGGACATTTGTTACTGTGTTTGGCATATCGAATATGTCCCGGGTAACTTGCCAGGCTTTGCCGGTTTTATCATGTATTTATTGATGTTTAAAATGTGATATATTAGGCTGGACAGAATACATAGATTAAGGTCCTTCCCTTGCATACCATTTTTAACTATAATAGTGGCTCAAATTTGGGCACTGGAGCGATAGCACAGTGGTAGGGCGTTTACCTTGCACGCAGCCAACATGGCCAACCCGAGTTCGATTCATCAGCACCTCTTGGAGAGCCCGGCAAGCTACCGAGAGTATCTCGCCCGCACAGCAGAGCCTGGCAAGCTCCCTGTGACGTATTCGATATGCCAAACACAGTAACAACAAAGTCTCCGATGGAGACGTTACTGGGCCCGCTCGAGCAATATGATTTCTTGAACACAGCCAGCAGTTGTCACTGAACTCTCCTGGGTTTCCTTCTCCAATTTGATGTGTGCTAGAACTGTGCCATCATTCTTTTTTGATGAGGAGTTTTCAATTTGAGACCTAGAAAGGCCTTTTTAACTGGTTCCTCTACTGTTTCTTTGATTTTTATCTTGAAATACTGCTTATATTCATGTTCATGTATTTTATGCTTTTATTTCAAAACTAATACAGAAAAATTATAAAATGTAAGGAATGCCACTGTATCCCCTTAGCCAAGTCCCTGAATATTACTATTGTAACTAATTGTTATTACTATTTATACCTGTTTGACGGTTTCTGATTTTACTAAATTATCAGAGAGTCCTTTGTAAGACATGATTTGTGTGTTTGGACCATACCTGGCGATGCTCAGGAATTACTCCTGGCTGTGCACTCAGGAATTACTCGTGGTGGTGCTTGGGGTAGCATATGGGATGCTGGGGATTGAACCTCAGTCACAAGGCAAGTGCCTTTGTACTGCTATCCAGCCCAGTACCAAAATCCTTCTGTTTGTTTTTCCAAAAAAATATGCCATCAGGAAATTAACTCTGATACAGAGCTATTATCAAACCTTTCTGTTTTATTCATTTTCACCCCGTCTCAAAAAGCCCTCTTTTTGTTTCTGGGCCATATCCAGTGGTGCTTAGGGGCTACTCCCAGTACATTACTTGGGGTCGTTCTCACTGGTGCTCAGGGGACCATGTGGTGCTGGTAATCAAACCTGGATCTCCAGCATGCAATGCAGTTGTACCAACCCTTTGAGTCGTCTCCCCAGCTTGCTGATAATCTCTTTATTGTAGGAGAAAATTGCTTTCTGGTCCTTGATCTGTCCTGTAAATTATAAAAGTCTCTTAGTCTTTTTAATTTTGCAGAAAGTTTTAGGGTTAATATGCTTGTCTTGAATGTGGCTGACCCTTTTTTAATCCCCAGCACCACAGATGTTCCCCTGAGTGCCTAGATTGAGCCCTGAACATAGAAGAAGCCTAGGAGTAACCCTCCAAGCACCAGTAGGTATTTATTACAGGATACAACACATTTTAGGGAGTTCATTTTTTAAAAGTTTGTGTTGAGTATTGATAACAGGGTCTCACATGTACTGTAATGCTGAGCCACCTTCCTGGCTCCTATAAATTTTAGTGCATAGAATTTTGTAATCATCACCTGAATTAGATTGAATATCAGTTCCATTACCCTCAAACTTCCTTCATGTTGTACCATTTGTAGTCTTTCCTTTGATTTTATTTCTCTATTTTTCTTTGAGTCTGGGCACTCCCAGCTGTGCTCAGGGTTTACTCCTGGCTCTGTACTCCATGATTACTCCTGGTAGGCTCCGGGGACCATATGTGGTTTTTGTTTTCTGGTTTTGCTTTTATTTTATTGGCCATAGCCAGTGGTGCTCTGGAGTTGATATTCCTGGCTCAGTAGTCTGAAGTCATTTCCGGTAGACTCGGAACGAACTCCACCTCCCTCCCACACCGTCGTTTGATTATTTTTCGTGGGAAAGTGTATCATTCATTCATGTTTCTGGATTTGGAATCAGTTATAAGTGTTTCTACTCACCCACTGGTCTGATTTTTTTTTCTCATTTGTATGGCTTTAGTGCCATAAATTTAAATCCCTGATTGTTTTAGATTTATTTTTATGGATTTTTAAAAGATACAGATTCAATTTGTCTTTTCAAATGGCTATTTTTTGTAGCACTGTTTGTTATTTTACCCTCACAAATTGAAACATTAACCGTACCACATTTGCATACTAATTCATATATGCTTAGCTTTCTTGTTTTTTTTCTTTCATTTTATTGGTTTGTCTCTTCATGAGCACATACCAACTAGTTAATCATATGAGCTCTTCCAAGTTTTTCTCGTTCTTTTTTCTTCCTTTTTGGGTCACACCCGGCAATGCACAGGGGTTACTCCTGGATTTGCACTCAGGAATTACACCTGGCGGTGCTCAAGGGACCATGTGGATTGCTGGGAATTGAACCCGGGTTGGCCACATGCAAGGGTAATGCCCTATCTGCTGTGATATCACTCCAGCTCCATTCCTAGTTATTCTTTTTTTTCTTTTCTTTTTATTTAGTGAATCACTGTGGGAAAAGTTACAAAGCTTTCAGGTTTAAGTCTCAGTCATTCAATGATCAAACACATTCCCCTTGACCAGTACTTATTTTTCACCACCAAGAACACCAATATATGAGCCACAAGAATGTTGGAAATTGTTCACAGGAATTTAATACATTCATTATTCCAGCACCAATTCCACCACCATTACACCTTCTCACCCCCATTATTTCGGATTGTCCTACTGCAACTTAAGCCTGCCCTCAAACCAAGTACTAGATAATACATTTTGTATTACTTGTTATGAATAATGCATTAAAATGATCCAAAAATGTTTTCTTATTGGTATATGTGTGAATATTTTTGTATCTCACCCTAGAGCCATTAAGCCGAACAAGGAATATTTTTATATTTATTTAAATCTCTGTTTCTTTGGGGAGATATAAAAAGTATTACTAAAAATACAATTTATACTTTATTTTTCTTTTGGGGTCATACCTGATGGGGCTCATGGCTTATTCCTGGCTCTGTTATAGGTGACCCCTTGTGTCAGATCTCAGGGCCCATATGTCATACCAAGGAGTAGGCCAAGTCTGTCACATTTAAGGCAAGCGCTTTGACCCCTGTACTCTCTCTCCAGCCCTGATCAAGTCCATTTTCATTATTTACTTACTCTTTGTTTTGTTTTGGCCATAGTCTGCGTGCACCGGGCTTATTGCTGGCTCTGCATTCAGGAATTAGACCTGGCAGTGCTTGGGGGACCTTATATAGGGAATAGAACCCAGGTGGGATTATGTGTAAGGCATGTGCCCTATCCACTGTACTCTTTCTCCAAACCCTCAAGTTTATTTATTTCTTTATTTTTGTTTTTGGACCATACACGGCAGCAATGCTCAGGGTTTACTCCTGGCTCTGCCCTCAGAAATTTTTCCTGGCAGTGCTTAGAGGACCATTTGGGATACTGTGGATCGAATTCATGTCTGACACTTGCAAGGCAAGTACCTTCCCTACTGTACTATTGCTCTGGCCCCTGAAGTTTTTTTTTAATTTTATTTTTCTTGCTAATTATAAATGTGGCTCCTCCTCCATTATATATTTCTAACCAATCACTGTTTGAATTCAAAAAAGTGGTTTATTTGTAATTATATCCTAGTTTTAAGAAAAATTTTAATTAGGCATTGTGATTTTTAAGTAAATCTTGGACTCTTAATTAAGAGTATTTTGGGTTTTCTATAGTACAATCACATCTAATCTTCAAACAGATATGGTTTCACCTTTTATTTCTGATTTATATGTTTTCTCCTAATTGCATTGGCAGATAACAGTGCAATGTAACACTGTCCTCCCCTTGTTCATCGATTTGCTCCAGCGGGCACCAGTAACATCTCCATTGTGGGACGTGTTGTGACTGTTTTTGCCATATCAAATACGCCACGAGGAACTTGCCAGGCTCTGCCGTGCGGATGGGGTACTCTTGGTAGCTTCCCGGGCTCTCCAGGAGGGATGGAGGAATCGAACCTGGGTCGGCTGTACACGCAAGGCAGACGCCCTACTCTCTATGCTATCACTTCAGGAATTAAGTAAGTAAAAAGTTCTTGGTATCACTTGAGCTGTTTTAGTACTTTCTGTTAAAGATTCTAGATTTTGGCAGAAATCTGTGTCTGATTATGTTTATAATGTATTCATCAATTTTTATTTGTTCTTTTTGTTATTTGGCACTATCCAGTGATGCCTAGGAACTTTTCCCAGCTTGGTGCTGGAGGATTACTTCTCGTGGTACCTGGGGGAGCATTTGGTACCAGGAATTGAGCCTAGGTGTCCTACCTGCAAAGCATATACTGAACTCACCACTGAGTTTTCTGCTTCCTGTTTTCTTTTCCTGACTCTATTAAAAATATTAGTTTTTGTTTTCGTGCCTCACCTGGCAATACTCATGGCTTTGGGCTCAGGAATCATTCTTGGTGGTGCTCGGGAGAATGAATGAGATGCCGGGGATTGAACCTGGGTTGGCCGTGTGCAAGACAAGCACCTTACTAGCTATACTGTTGTCCCAGTGACACCGAGCTCTACTCAGAAATTACTCCTGGGTCTGTGCTCTGGGATGTGTCCTGGGAGTGATGGGTATGTTAATTTCCGTGGGAGGCATGAATTTTGAATCTTAAATACTATCACTATGTTTAAACCTTTTACCTTTCTTTTTAGTTGAATCACTGTGAGATAGACCCTTACAAAGCTGTTCAAGATATAGTTTCAGTCAGTGTTCCAACACCCATCTCTCCACCAGTGTACATTTCCCAGCACCAGTGTCCCCAGTTTCCCCTCCCACCACCCTTCACCCCCCACTCTCTAGACTTCCTCTGTGACAGGCACTTTTCTTCACTCACTTTTTAAATGGGACATTTCCTATTATATTAACTTTTTTGTCTTTTTTAGGGGTGTTACACCAGTGGTGCTCAGGGATCACTCCTGGTGGGTTCAAGGAATGCTATGGGGTGCTAGGGATTGAACCTGGTTGACTGCATGCAAGGCAAGAGCTCTACTCACTGTCCTGCTTTAGTTCGCTTGGTATACCTTTTTGTTGTTAACCTTCATTCATCATCTGGTTCTAGCTTTGTCTTTTATAGTCAATATTTAAGTTTTGTTTTTCATCCATTCTGAACATTTTACTTCAAATAGTGTGTTTTTTTGGTAAATAGACATGGTGAGATCGTTAACATAAATCTGGTACGGGATAAGAAGACTGGGAAATCCAAGGGATTCTGTTTCCTTTGCTATGAAGACCACCGGAGCACAATTCTGGCTGTTGACAATTTTAATGGCTTCAAGGTGACTAAAAGTATGAAGCAGGATTTGGCTGAATGTTTCTGATGTAATGGTTTGGTTTGATTTTTCCCCTGATTCACACAGGCCCAGGGACCACCAGGATGAGACAATAAAAGTTTCAGGCATGTGGGGAAATTGTTCTAGGAAGCAATAACATGGGCCTCTGCTCCAGTCAGCACTTTTTTCTTCCTCAGTATTAGCTATACCACCACCCACCCAGGGAGGCCTTTGTTTCTTACCTTTCCCACCTCACCACTGTATTTCTCCAGCCCAGGAGAGTTACTCTTAGAGAATTTGTCACTGATTGCACCAGTAATAAGTAGTTACAAGGACAGCATGGAATGGGGTTATAGATTTTCATTTTATGGATCCTATTTTCAAAGTCAGTCAAAGAAGGGATGGTTTTCAAAACATTTTTTCCCTCTTTGGTCATACGTAGCGATGCTCAGGGTTACTCCTGACTCTGCACTCAGGAATTACTCCTGGCCTTGCTGGGGAAACCATATGGGATGCTGGGGATCAAACCTGTATCGGCCACATGCAAGGCAAATGCCTTACCCTCTGTGCTATAACTCTGGCCCCTCAAAAATGTCTTTATTTATTTAGTTATTTTGGGGTTTTTTTTTATGACATCCCGGGGATGCACAGGGACTCCAGGCTCTACATTCAGGAATTAATTCTGGCCTTACTGGGGGGAGCATATGGGATGCTGGTAATCGAACCCAGGTCGGCCGCGTGCAAGGCAAACGCCCTATCCTCTGTGCTATCTCTCCAGCCACTCAAAAATGTTTTTAAGTTGGAAATAGGATAGATGATAAGAGGTAGATTAGACTTAAAGGTAAAACTAAAATCAGACCTTGTATTGGAACAATAAAAGCTAGACTTTGGGAATGTTGGGTGCCTAATGACTATAGAATTAAGTATGTATTGGAGAGTGAAGTGATCCTACAGTTGGTAGGCCTCATACCCTACTTGTGCCTTACCAGGGTTATGATCTGGACACCCTATATCATCTGAGCACATTCAGTATTGTTTCAACAACCCCCACCATCAAAAAAGAATTTTTAAGTCTATGCTTAAAAAAATGAAATGATGTTGATTAATGTGAGTGATGACTATTTTGTTTATTTAACAGCAAAAGTATCAGTGTGGGCTAGTCACAAAAATTCCCAGAGGTTTTTTTTATATCATGACATCAATACAGCACAAAAATATTTGTATGGCACACAGGGGTAAACTGACTGAAGATGCTAGTGCACTTGCCTCAGGGGCTCAGTAGCCCTAAGGCCTGCAGAGAAAATTGCTAGCTGGGAAAGAGTACTCAAACACAACAGTTGGGCAAACAGTATTGGAGATTTCCCCAGAGATAGAGTTAGCAGGAAGTTTTTGTGGGTCACTTCATTTGGTAGGAGGGCTGTCTTTGCTGATGCGTCGACTTTCTGTCTTAGTTCAAAGGACGAACTCCTCCAGTGGATCATGTGTCTAACTATAGGGCTCCTATGGACTCAGATGAATTGGATACTGTGTCCAGACTGCTTCAGAAGACGGGCTGTGGGGATTACACACCTACAAACAGTTCATCTAAGGACTCTGAAGATGACAAACCAACAAAAAAACACATAAAAGGTAAAATTTTATGACCAAAAATGATTCCAGGTGGTCTTAATTTTTTTGATGAATAAAGCTGTTTATTGAACGATAGAAAGGTAAGTTTATTTTCAAATAGGAAGTAAATGTTCATATAACCAAAACTGTTAAGAAATAGTGACATAACCAAAACACAGAGACAGTCTACAGAATGGGAAAGGATATTCGCCAAATACACATCTGATAAGGGGTTAATGTCAGGGATATACAAAGTACTGGTTGAACTCCACAAAAAGAAAACATTCAACCCCATCAAAAAATGGGGAGATGAAATGAATAGAAACTTTCACAAAGAACAAATCCGAATGGCTAAAAGGCACATGGGAAAATGCTCCACATCATTAATCATCAGGGAGATGCAGATCGAAACCACAATGAGATATCACTTCACACCACAGAGACTGGCCCATATCCACAAGAACAAAAGCAACTAGTGCTGGCACGGATGTGGTGAGAAAGGGACACTCCTTCACTGTTGGGGGAATGCCGACTGGTTCAGCCCTTTTGGAAAACAGTATGGACGATTCTCAAAAACTTAGAAATTGAGCTCCCATTTGATCCAGCAATACCACTCCTGGGAATATATCCCAGAGAGGCAAAAAAGTATAGTCGAAGTGACATCTGCACTTGTCTGTTTATTGCAGCACTCTTTACAATAGCCTGAGTGCCCGAGAACAGATGACTGGTTAAAGAAACATTGGTACATTTACACGATGGAGTACTATGTAGCTGTTAGAAAAGACGAAGTGACGAAATTTGCATACAAGTGGTACTACATGGAAAGTATCATGTTAAGCAAAATGACTCAGAAAGAAAGGGATAGACATAGATTACATTCATCTGGGGAACATAAAGTAACAAAATAGGAGACTAACACCCAAGAATGGCCGAGATTAGTACCAGGAATTTTACTCCATGGCTTGGAGGCCAACCACACATACTAGGGGAAAAGGGAGCTCAGATAAAGAAGGGAACACCAAATAAAGGTGTTGGGAGGATCCTCCCAGGGTGGGAGAAGCATGCGGAAGGTAGACTATAGACTAAACATGATTGTCACCCATTGCCTCTTTTGCAAACCACAACACCCAATAAGAGAGAGAACAAAAGGGAATACCCTGCCACAGAGGCAGGGTGGGAGGGCGGTATGGGGGGTGGGAGGGATACTGGGATCCGTGGGTATTTGATCATTGTATAATTGAAACCCAAGCACAAAAATGTGTAAGTCTGCAACTGTACCTCATGATGTCTCACTATTAACATTTTTTTATTAAAAAAATAGTGACTTAGTAAACTTAAGTTTATTTCAAGATACAAATATAGAATCACAATTTTTTTCTTTTTGGTTCATACCCGGCAATACACAGGGGTTACTCCTGGCTCTGCACTCAAGAATTACACCTGTTGTCGCTCATGTGACCATATGGGATGCTGGGAATCGAACCCAGTTCGGCAGTGTGCAAGGCAAACGCCCTACGTGCTGCGTTATTGCTCCATCCCGATACTGTTTTAATTTATCCGACTTCTCTAGAGAAACGTAAATTTAAGGAATATACTGATGGGCTTACGAACTTTCTAGAAAATCTTCTAAGACTTTTACAAAGCTCATCATTTTTAAATTGGAGGATGACGATTGGGATACTTTGACTCTTCATCTTATAAACCTTGCTGTTTTTGCTGTCTTGCCATGAATATTAATATACTATTAAAATTCAAATTATTAAACTGGATGATAATAGTACAGTGAGTGGGTTGGGTGTTTGATTTATACACAGCCAACCCAGTTTTGCACTCTTGCATACTATGTGGTCCTCCAAGCCCCACCACCCCAACTTCAAATTATTTTTGGGGGGTGGGAGTCACACCTGATGGTGCTTTGGCTTACAACTGGTTCTGCATTTGATCTAGTGTATTTAGAAAATAGGAAACTTTGGGGAGAGTTGTATGTTTTTTCGTTTCCTATTTGTTCCTCCCGTCCATTTTTTTTCTCTCCAGACAAAAAGGAAAAAAAGAAAATCAAAAGCGGGAGGTACAGCCAGATCCACCAGTCTCCTCTTCATCACCCAGAAGCAAGATGCTAAAGGAAAACAATTCCCTTGACTGTAAAAAGTTCAACAGCAAGAACTCTGAAAAGGTTCAGAAGTAAGAGTCCAGGGAGGGGCTGAAGCAGTACCACAGCTCCTCTGAGGTCAGGACAGCCTACCACTCCGGAGCAGAGGCCCAAGACAGGGAGTCAAAGAAGAAGCCAGACAGGAACACAGGTCCTTATGTAGGAGAGTTGAAACGGAAGAAAAGAATAGGCCTAGGGACAGAGATCAAAGGTCAGATACCCACTTTGGCTGGCAGGCACAAGGAACGTTCTGAATGGCATGGTCGCAGGAGTAGGAGTAGGTGTAGGCTACGAGTAGGAGCGGTGATAAATCCCACAGGTATCAAAGATTCTGGCACTCCCAGGATTGGGGATCCCCTACTTCCAGAGACTACAGGCGTCACTGAGACTGCAGCCGATTGAGTTGCTTGGTAGAATTGGAGATGAAATGGTTTTTTCTTGTGTGTGTGTGTGTGTGTATGTGTGTGTGTGTGTGTGCGCGTGCGTGCGTGCGCGTGCGTATATGTATGTAGAGTCCCATCGTGAGGTACTCATGACTTCTAGCTCTGGTTTAGGGGTCAATCATGGCAGGGCTCAGAACTATATGAGGTTCCGGGGACAGAACTTAGGGCAGCTGCCTGGAAGAGAAACAATCTGTACACCGAACTGTCTCTCTGGCCCCAGATTTGAACTATTATAAGAAGCAGTTCTTAAAAAGCAAAACCAATTATTTCTCACTTTTGAATATGTAAAATCTTCTGAAGATCAAATATTTTATTCCCTTGTATATCAATCCTTGAGAGAGATGTACTCTCTATAGTCGGATGTCCTTACTTCTTTTCGAGGGGGGGCAGGTAACACCTGGCGATACTTATGGTTTTCTCCTGGTTTTGTACTCAGTACTATTGACAGTGCTTGGGAGACCATGTTGGATGCCACGGGAATTGAACGCAGGTTACCTATTTGCAATCTAACGCCTAACCTGCTTTTTTATCTCTCCGTTGCCTGATGTTCTCAATTTTTAAGCGCAGTTTGTTGTCCTTGGGAATATATTTGGTACTAATCAGATTACATGTGGTAAATTGGTTGATATATAGATCCAAGAACCTATAAACCCCCTAAGAAGGATGAGAAATATTTAAGAAATAGGAAAATATCAGTTCTTGAATTTTCGTCTGTGTTGGATGACTGTCCATTTGGCAGATAAAACCGATAGAGATGTGTGACTTAATTCAGTATAAGTAGCGTGATATAGATACAGTAATGAAGCTGTTAGTCTGTTCTGTTTATGTTGAGATGTGTCTTTTCCTGAACAATTTTGTTGATACATTTCCACATATGTTCCTTGCCACTTATTTTTATTGATAAATTGACACAAAAAAATTTGCCTCATACAAAAATGCAGTTTTTCAAAATTGCCTTAAAATTGGTTTGAAATATTGTGAAGGTTCTGCTGTTAGCTTCAGACCTTTATATGTGTATAATTGTCACAACATCCACCACCAATCTTTGAGTGCTATCCCACCACGAAAAAGACCGTGCTGGTTCCTTCCACTACCAACTCCTTCTCTCTGAGAGTCACCATTGTGTTCCTTCAGTCTAGAAAGTTTGTTATTTTCTTTCCTTTTTACTGTTTTTGGTGAAGCAAGAGAGTTTTATTATTTTTTAAAACTCAAACTAATTGATTTTTTGGGGGGTCAGACCCGGTGAATCTCAGGGGTTGCTGCTAGCTCTACCCTCAGTAATTACTCCTCGCTGTACTCGGGAACCACATGGGTTTGTATTTTAGGCCATATCTTGCTCTGCTCAGGTCTTACTTCTGGCTTTGTACTCAGGAATCACTCCTGACAGGTTTGGGAGAAAATATGCTTTGCTGGGGACCAAACCCAGGTCTCCTGCATGCAAGGCACACACCTTACTTAAATACTCTGTCAATCCTTGAGAATTAACCATTTTGTCATAGACTCGCAGACTGTGACTCTCAGGGTTGATATCTCGGCTCTGAATTCAGGATTCCATGGTTCTGAAAGTTCCATCATTCCTTTAAGTTTCGAAGTTTATTTAAACACTGATTTACAAAGTAGCCTGTCCCAACACTGAGAAAGCCTGTAGATTTTAGTCACAAAGCCTGTAGATTTTGCACACCTGAACTTTCAGCAGGTTAATTTCTGGGTAAGGCTCTGTTCTGAGAGAGTGGAGTCTCTCCAGATGCATGACTGCGATTTTGCTGTTGGAGAGTGAGCAGCTTCTGGGGCTCAGTTTGAACAGGCCCTGGGCTGGCCCCTGAGGTCTCAGCCATGCATGGGTGATAGAAGGAGTTTTGGCAGCTGCTTCATCTCTTTCATGATTTTGAGTCTCTGGAGCAAGAACAATAGATGAACCTACACGGAACAGTGGGTGATTCATGGGTTTTACTGCCAGAGCTTCTAGAAGTACCAGGGAGGTAAGGGGAGGGAGCCCATCCCAAGTCAAGATATCAGCCACAAAAACTTGCATACTTGAATTTTCAGCAAGGTAATTTCTCAATAAGGCTCAATCCTGAAACAACGGGGTCCACTCAGAGAGAAGGCAGTGTGGGCTGGCTTTCCCACCGTGTAGAAAGTTTTCTTGCATTCACAGGGTTTCTCTCCTTCATGAATCTTCTCAAGTTCAGTGAGGTTTCATTTCATGGATAATCTTTGCCTACGTTTCATGCTCTAAGGGTCTGTCTCCTTTGTAAGATATGTTGTGTATCGGGTGACCTTATTTGTTGTAAAAAGTTTTCATCCACACTTTACATTCATAGGGTTTCTCTCCTGCACGAATTATGTTGAGTGAGGTACAATTTTATCAAAAAGGTTTTCCTACATTCTTTGCAATAAACAGGGTTTTCACGTGTATGAATTCTATATTGTTTAATGAGATATGATTATAAGGAGAAAGTTTTCCTGTTTACTTTCCATTCACAGGTTTTCTCTCCATGAATTTCATTCCTATTCAGTGAGGTATAATTTTTTTTTCTACTTGAGTCACACCTGGTGATGCACAGGGGTTACTCCTGGCTCTGCACTCAGGAATTACCCCTGGCGGTGCTCAGGAGACCATATGGAATGCTGGGAATTGAACCTGGGTTGGCCGCGTGCAAGGCAAATGCCCTACCTGCTGTGCTATCGCTCCAGCCCAATGTGAGGTATGATTGAAAAGGAGAGTTTTCCTACATGTATAGGGTCTCCTCTCATGGTTAGTGAGGTTTGATTTCAATGAGAATGTTTCCCTACATTTACAGGGTTTCTCTCGTGTGAATCCTGTTATGTTCAGTCAGTAATGACTTAATGGAGAAAGATTTCTTCCTGCATTCACTGCATTGGTAGGGTTTATCACATGTGAATTCTTATGTTTAATCAGACATGACTTACAAGAGAAAGATCTTCAGCATTCAGTACATGAATTAGGTTTCTCTGTTGTTTGAGTTCTTATGTTGAATGAGAGAGGATTTCACTGTGAATGTTTTCCAACATTTTTTTTGTACATAGGGTTTCTCTTCTGTATGAAATCTTTCATGTAGAATTAGATCTGGCTTCATTGAGAAAGTTTTTCTACATTGTTTTTATTTGTGTTTCTCTCCTGAGAGACTCTGTTTTGAGTTATCTATCATGCATGGCTCTACTCCTTGTTTTATTTTTATTTTTTCATGGCTCTACTCTTTCTTCAACTTAATGATTGCTTCAGGTGTGATGACAGAGTGTCCCAATGATTCCAGGTCCTGTAGTTTTCCAGTGTCTCCTCACTGAACAGGGTCCTCTGTTCATCAGCCAGGAACTGCCGTTCTTTCCACGTGAAGTTCACACGCTCCTCCTCAAACAGCACCGTCCCCAGAGGTGATTTCATTGGTATCTTTTAGAAATTCGGTGAGCTCTTGAAGTAGAGTTGAGGAAGATTGGGAAAACTGGCATGGCTGGCTCCTGTTTTTTAAGAGTCTTATATTTATGGTTTGATCAGAAGATTGCACAATTTCATGATCATGCCAAGTTAGAATCTTTCCGTCCTGTACCTGCTGTCTGTGCTCTTCTGCTGCCTTACAACCTGTGTTTGGTACCAAGGTCTTCCAAAATGAATTTTATTGAAGCAGCCCATCATGTGGAGTGACTTTTGCCCATGACGACCCTGGCAGCTGCAAGTTCTGGTGGAAAGCGTCATTGGAATTCTGATGGGCTCTGCAGGAAATCTGTTGAAAACCAGAAGAACTGTGCCACCCCTTGAACACCAGGGTATTTTTCCGTGGTGACCTCTGACAGGGAACGTGTATCGCTTGAGCTCTGCCCCTCATTATGCTTATCCCAAATTGATCCTCTCTGGGGAGAAGTAATCTATTCTTGGTTAATTTTAATTTTTCTGGGTGGAGGCTGGTGGAGATGGGTATACCACCAGGTCTCAGGGCTTATTCTTGATATTAAGCTCAGGAATCATTCCTGGGTGAGCTGTGTGCAGGGCAAGTTTATTAGTCCTAAGGCTATAGTGAACATCATTGAAATTGGTATGAGTATGTCAGGCAATCTGTTAAATAGTTTTTGTAGGATGGTCAGGATAATGGGGGTAATCTGCTCCCCCCCTTGGTGAACACAAACTTTTCTTCCACTTCCTAGTTTCCTCTAATAAGGAAATTATATTTCTGGTACCCTTCACCTGTTTTGTTCCCCCCCCCCCCCCAACAATTTATCCAGCCGTGCCTGTTGTACTGGCTCTCTAGCTCTCTTTTTTAAAAATTATTTTTTAAACTCAAAAATGTAAAGCACAAAACCCTGATGTGTGTATTCCTAAGAGATTGAGTTTTTCAGAATAGCAGCTCCTTCCATCGTTGAATGAGGTGTGGAAAGAGGAAGCTAGCCACAAGCCAGTTGTGTCATGGAAAGGCTCTGGGCTTCCCCTATAGCTCCAGGATTGAATTTGAGTCAGCCACGAGCAAGGCAAACTCCCAATGCTCTGTATTCTGAATCTAGCCCCTTCTGTAATATTTTGGACAACTCGCTCATTGTTTTATTTATTTAATCATGAGCTTCTGCAATCTCACTGAAAGTGGAAAGGGAATATATAATAATATGAAACTGAAAGGAAAGCACTAGCATCAGAGGACATGAGTATGTATGGGATGGAGGGCTCCTGAGGTACAGAAG